AACAAATGAAGTAGGTATTGAAGAGTGAAAACGAGTATGAACATGAAATTTATAAGAGAAAAAGTGTTGGTCATAAACCAAAGTAAGTATGGACAGATATTCGCACGACGCATGGATGAAACCATCATAATTGAGGCTTTATTGCATGCGGATGCGATGGCTGGTGGCTATTCCACCATATGATACCAAACATGCATAAACCATAGGTGCATACATATGTACATACAGTATTGGACATATCTATAGCACCCCCATTTCAAAATGCTTGAAACTTTTTAAAGACTACAAAAAAGGCAGAAATTTTAACCCAAGTTTCAAACTTTTTTCTCAGAACTCTTAGACATTTTTTGAGTACGCAGTTTTATAGCCCATTCAATTTTAGTCTCATAATGTTCAAGTTTCAAGTCGCTGAAAATTACCGTTGATTTTTTAGAATTTTTGTTTTGTCCCATTTCGCTAGCTTAGAGTGAAAAGTTGCTAAGTCCACTTTTTATGAAAACTCTTATTTTGATATAGGAGGCTAGAGAAATTGAATACGCATCGTTTCGAAAATTATAAAGGTACTTGTTTTATTTTTTCCTCTTCATAAGCACTAAAAGGAAAATTTGCTAAGTCCAAAAGAAGCACCACAAATCCGATAAGGCCAAAATAATACGACATCTTTTAATAAATATCGAATCCTTCTGATTCTTATGGAGTTTTGCTTTGCTTTAAAGGCGCAAAATGTTTGATTCAAAGTCTTGCGAAATAGTTAAAGAAAATGGCTATAGGAAGATTTTTTCCCCTCCTGTAAAATTTTTAAAATGGGACTTAGCCACTTTTCTTTCTAAGCTAGCGATTTGCTACCATATAACGAATAAACACAATTTATTTTTATATGGAAGAAATTCGCAACATCTTCGGCAAAAAAAATTCTAAAAAATGACGGTCATTTTTAGCCACTTAAAACTTGCACATTATTGGACTAAAATTGAATGGGCTATAAAACTGTGTACTCGAAAAAATTCTAACACTTCTGAGAAAAAAAGTTTCAAATTTGGGTGAAAATTTGACGCGTTTTTTGTAGTCTTTTAAAAACTTTTAAACTTGGGTCTATATGAGTTTTGTTAGAGAATAAACTGTATTTTAATTGAAAATTCCAAAAATAAATAAATAAATATGAGTGGCAAACTATATCAGTTTGAAACGGGGATGCCATTGTATTGGCCAATACTGTACGTACATACATGCACACATGTTATCCATACCAATACCCGTACATGTGTGCATACGTATGATATAAATGGTAAGTGGCGTGCGGCAGCATAATGATGATTTAGGAGATGAGTGGAAATTGTGGTTAATAATATAATTACAGATGCTATTGCCATGGATATCGTGGCACTCTGAGGTTAAATCCTCACATTGGAATTGTTGAATTGATGATAGCTTCAGTAGCAGAAATTTTTTAAATTTCACTTGAAAATGAGGCAACAGTAATGGCGCATGGAAGTTTCAATAGATTATCATTTAAAATATTTGTATAAATGGGTTTTCGAATGAACATTTATACACAGTATTTTCGCAAATTTACTTATTTTATTTTTTAATTTGAAAAAAAAACGAGATCAGTTTTTTTTTAATTTAGTGAATTTTTGAGCAAATGAAATCATCTTGTCCAAGTACTATCTGCCGATAGGGTATCAAACAATTTTGAGTAAGCTGGGACATTTAGTTGTATCTGATAGTCATTGAGAGCAGACGAAATCGCGAGTTTCAATGTTAATGAATGCCAGGGAAAAAAGTTGTCGCCATAGCAAAAATCGATAACTTGGCCACTTTACCTAAGCTCTGCACTGCCATCCTTTCCAAAATATTCTCCATCTAATTTCCGTTTCCTAACCTGAAGTAATAAGCGGATATTTTCAAGTTTTGCAGACCTTGAGAAAGCCTGCATGCTTTTCCACAAATAAAAAAAATCGAAAAAAAATCCTGGACCAAATACAGCGAGTTAAAGAAGACTTGGGCTCGATCTCTGGTCCAACAACTATAAAACAGTTTCTAATAGGGAATGTAATTCTGCAGTGAAAAGGCTTATTCTAAAACTAGGAAAGAAGTCTTACTTCAGGGGAGAGATACCGAGATACACATTTTCCAAAAAATTATTTTAAATGGATTACTTGCTAAAGAATTACTGCAAACATCAATTTTGAGTTAAGCAGCTTCCGTTATGTGGGATGTGGGCGTGGTTCCCTTAAATTTTGCCCATTTTCAAACCATCTGTCTTTATCTCACAGAAACATATTTGTTAAGATATCTCAATTTTTCCTCGAGCTATCGTCAGCACAGAGGAATGGACGGACAGACGGGCGGACAGACACGGGTTAATCGATTTCTCTTTTCACCCTGAGCAACTTTTTGTAATTTTCATACAGTACCCGATTGAGAAATCTTGTACACCATCATTAAAAGAGGAGGCGGTCATACCTCCACCATTTTACAATTTTTTTCAAATTTGTATTTATTGGAAATTTCTCTTATATATTGACTCTATGTGTGAAATAAAGGTTTTTTATAAATTTCATACATATCTGCGTAATAAAAAAATAAATTTGTTAACCAATTTTTTTGGCCTTCAGGGTGGTGTAACTCTTTGAACTCAATTAGCAACTTAGGAGAAGTTGCAAAAAGAATTGTTCCAAAAAAAAAATATCAGCCTCTGGTAAAGCTCCTCCAATAATTGAATTCGCACTTTAAACTAACCTTTTACGTTTAATACATTTTAGGAACTTCTTGTGAAGTTTTCTGAGCCGTCTTAATGTAAATCTGCTATATACATATGTACATACGTTTGCCTGCATAAAAGGATAGCGGCTACAAGTTTTCGCCCAATATTTCGCACACTTGTTTCATTAATACATATGTTTGTTTGTATGTGTGGAAATTCCGTCATTCGTGAAATAAAGTCACATTTCTCTGCTGAGCCGATTGAAATTTCACTTTTAGACTGCAATTAAATTTGTACCGCTATAAACCCAAATGTGTATATGTACATAGTCAATCGTGAAGTCACTAAAGCGTGTCATTAAGAAAATTGCATCACTAAGGGAAAGTATGATTTGGTGGTAATTTGACTACAGTGTTTTCAATTTTTTTTTATTTTTTTAGCGTTTCTTATTTTTTTTTAAACTTTTCGGACTTAGAAAAATTATGATAAAAAAACCAGTAGGTACCTATCTTCCCAAAAAGATGTAGCACTAAATTAAATAAAGTTTTTAAATGAAAGGAACTTTGAAAAAATTCAAATAGCAGAAAACAATAAATAATTTAAAAAATTTAAAAGCTCCCTTCACATGTGGTTGTACGCTTGGTGTTCCGGTAACTCTCGTCCAATACAGAATAAAACTTATTCTGGGATATTTTCAAGTATTGTTTACATTTTTTCCCCGAAGTTTGACCTTTTCACTATTCCATAAGCGTGCCGGCGTAAAAGGAATATTTTATATGCAAACAGCTCAATTTTGTATTCATTGCTGATATATTCAATTTGATGACGTTTTCTGTAGCTTTTGTCTTCATCCACAAAAACGTCAACAATATTACTCATGCTTAAATAAACATATACACACACACACACACACACCTCTACATAGGCATGCAAATACGAGTTTGCAAACAAAACACCTGCCAGCTTATTGAGGAAAAAGAATAGCTTGTAGAAATTTTGCATAAATTTATAAATGTATAAACCATTGCGAAAACGAAACAAATAATTCAATGAAATTTTGCCATTATTTTTAAGATACAATTAAATAAAAATGAAAAATTTTGCAAATGGGTAAATAGAAACACATTCATGGGTATATAGAAACACTAGTGAAAAACCGCATATACATAACAGCCATAAAATGTCGGCGTGCAAGTAAAAGATTTCATTTTAAGGGGGTTGAAAGTGTGGTGTAGTGGTTAGCAGTGCGCGCTACCATTCCGCAGGGCCTGGGTTCAAGCCGGCGATGGCAAACTTCAGAGTGTATTTCTGCCGTGAAAAACAGCTTCTCATAAAAATACAATCGCCGCGCAGAGTCGGCGTATAACTGTAGGTCCCTCCCCTTTGTGTGACAACATCAAGTCGCACGCCACAAATCGGAGGAGAAGCTCGGCCAAACACTAACGTGTGTGTAAGTGCCAATCTAGTATTACTAGTATTATTATTATTATTGTAATTCTAAATAAAAATATTAAACTTATTATTTTTTAATTCAAAAGTCACTTGAGTTGTTTTAATTAAATGCCACAGATATGTAGGTATATCCTTTAAAAAGTTAAAAGTTTGATAACAATCAAATAGAAAAAAAAATTCAGGTATTATTTTTTACATTTAGAAAAATCCTAGGGGAGCTTAACATTTTAAACACCCTAATGAATAAACATACAACATACATATAGGTACGGGTTCCCGGTCCTAGTCTGCGTGCTGTGCATAGTGACAACTATCGTAACCTGACCTAATCTAAGCTTACCTTTAGTTTACTCAGCGTACTTTTGTGTATGTCAGCGATTAACTCAAACTAGAACTATAAATTGTTACTTGGTCTCAGAGTCAGAAAATATGGGACATTTCTGGAAATACAGTGATTATATATCGATGGCTGAGTGGAAGATCGAGCTATCTCGGCTGCCAGTTCAAAAACGCCCTATATCAGAATTTTACTGAAAAGCACTATCTCAGAATTCGGTTCAAAAATGCTGTGCGGTTGAAAAATGCTGGTTCCCGAGAAGGTCGATCTTGCACGCAGCCATCGATATATAGATCTTACAGGTAGAAAATTTAGTATTGATTTGTAAGATGGTATACATATGTGTCAATATCCAAGGGTGCGTCCAAGTAAAGATGACCATTAAAGGCCACTTCATCAATAAAGCAAAAAAAAAGGAGTGCACTGAATGTCACTCGTTGAAGTGCAACCTTCCACGAACGCAAGCATTTTGCCTCAACTGCAGTCTTCACAATATTTACTAACTCAGAGTAGTTGCGACTGTTTGCTTGCGTGCTCGCGTGCACGTTTGATGGTCATTTTTCCGCGATGCAAGCAAGCCCCGGTTGTATTTCCTGCAGACACTATCGGCCATTCTCGGCATAACTTTGGATGGATTTTGTTTCCAACCAATTTACGTCGATTTCCTGTGCCATAAGACGCGCGACAAACTTTTCCACTTCATTGCAAGCATAAAAATTTACTTACATACATACATATGTACATATGCACATAAATGCAAGCGTAAGAGGCATACCTACATGCATGTGCGATAGCAAAAACAACTACAACAAATTTAAATTTCGATAACGCAGGCCATTAGCACACGGCTCAAAGACAATTCTGTGGTGGTGACCAAGGCAATATTTATGTATGTAGTTATTGGTATCTACGGTCACTTTTTATGTATTTGCATCCGGTGCGACGACGACAGTCGCCAACACAGTCACTGTATACATACATACATACGTACATATGTACCTATACTGTCGCCACTGTCCACCAACACCGCCCATCCGTTTTGCTAACGTCCAACCCGTTTTGTTCTTTCGTTCGCTGTCTGTGCGCATTAATCGGACGTTTGCTATCTTTTCGCACTCAAACCATTTTTTATTTTCATTTATTATCTTTAATTTTTAATTCTTGATTTACCACTTATTTATGTAGTAGCTGACCTGATATGTATGTACGTATGTACGTATTTAGTTATTTAATTTTCATTTTTTTAATTTATTTGCGTTTAATTCATATCCCCACATCACCGCTAATCGAGCAAGAGCGTCGCGCATGCGTACTTCACCTTTCCGAGTTTAAAACGCGTCTGAGCTGCATGCAACCAAATCAGCGTTGCCGATGTTACTAGACCAGCTGTCCAGAGTTAGCAGTCGGCTAAAAGCAAGACATCAACGGAAGAGCATAGTCACTCTGCCACATGCGGAGTGACTAGAGAGTGTTTTGCTTAGTGCACAATGGGCTGTTATGAAGATGTAGAGGTGTAGAAATTGCATTCAAACTTCTAGTAGGAGATTAATTCTTCAAGTACTAGGAGATCAGTGTTCAAGTACATACTTCTCAGGACAAGAATCTATAGTCATTTCCTTACATGACGCTATAAAAAGGGAAATTGCCCCTCGATAGGCAATGGGAAATCTCCGAGAGTATGTTATTTTGCAATGAAAAAACATCAAGGAGCTGAGCTTTTTAGAATGTGTGCGCGAAAATTTTGATTTGGCTAGGATCGGGAAATGAGAGATGACACCGGACGATGCCTTCAATTCTAAACTATTTGTTAGCTGCTTCAAAGGTATTCACACTAGTGCATACGGATATCCGTTCGGATATTGGTGTATACGGATAAAATCCGGATATCCGGATAATAAAAATTAACAGATAAATACTGGATATCCGAATTTTATCCGTAAATACGAATTTGCGGATGATCAAATAAACGGATATTGACCGGATACCCGAATATTCTAAAACAGTCGTAAAATTGTCCTCAAAATTAACGAATCTATTGAGTTAAAAACAAATAATATTTGGAACACTTCATTAATGCACTAAGGATTGTTTTTTATTGTTATTTTCAGATTCGAAAATCCGGATATCTGGTTAATATCTGTTCATATTCGAATATTTTCTAAGCAGACTTCAGAACATGGGAGACGCTGGGCAGATGAAACACAAAAGCAGAGATTGAGCAACCGGTTTGGGAGGTATGTTTCTCTCCGCTCAGAAATAAGTACATCCAGCCAAAGCATCAGCCCCTTTTATTTCTAAACTAAAATTGATGGAAATGCCTTATTTGCGCAACTAAGTTCTAAATCAAGACTTTACCGTGGTTGCGCATATTGGACATTTCTAGCAATTATAGTTTAGAAATAAATGCTGATGCTTTGGCTTGATGTATTTCTGAACAGAGGGTATGTGCTGTTACAATCTGATAACTTCTGACTTTAAAGGACCCAATGAAAATACTAAACTCCATAAGTTCGAACCGAAGCTAAAACTTAAAAATGGTTTGGTAGCCAAACATTGGGCATTATGCATAAAAAGTGAGCTTAAGCTCCCACTCGATTTTCAGTACAAATTCATGTATGTGAAAGTAACAACAAAGTTAGCTCGAAGCGATGAACGTTGGCGAGTTTGGTTGTAGCGCTACTCGCTAAGCATTGGCGAAACGATAGCGGCTTATACATTATAAATTTCAAATCAAGACCGAGCCACTGTGCACCTCATCGAGAATGGCCAGCGAAGAACAAAGAGAGCTGCAGTAGAATAAAGAAATCATTCGCTTCGATGCTCTATTCAACTCGTATTATGTGAATCACTCGGCTGCTAAGCTGACGAAAGCAAAAAAAAAAACAACAAAAAGAAGAAAAGCGAAAAATTAAATAAACTAAAGTAAATAAAACAAGTAATATCTACAACCAATAAAGCAAAAAAAAACCAAAAAATACATACATATAACCAAAAACTCCACATAAAAGATGAGCAATAAATGAAAAAGTTATGTGCCGCACTTGCGCGCAACCACAACAACCAACTGACAGCTATGTACATATGTAGGTAGTGCAGTTTCCACTGAGGCGAGGCTTGTGCGTTGAAAATCAGGAGGAATAAGTGGAACAAATGCGCGGATGGTGGCATAAGTGATTGGCTAGCAGCTTGCTTGGTCGGCTGGCTAGTAAGTAAGGAGTTGACTCTGCTTGAATGGAGGAGGACGACGCTAAGGCTGTACACACGGCGCACGGTCGCCGATCAAGCCATGGAAGATTGTGTAAAGTTGCGCAAAGACAGAAAACAAAACAGCAATAATAAAGAATATCAACACAAATGCATAAATAGTCGCCTCAATAAACGCCACCGACAACTACACAAACAACCGGAGGTGCACCAGTGGCAAATTCGATCGATTATCGAACAATGTAGATTTATGTATGTATGTATGTATGCATGGAATGAGTTGCTACCTTGCTGGCTATCCGAGTAGGCAATATGTATGTATGTATGGCTACGTACCTGAAATTGATAATCTGCAACGAGAGATGAAGACTAGTTGTTTCTTGAAGATATTCGCATATCGATAAGTCTAAGGCGGCCATAAATGGTTTTAAAGTACATATTTTTAGAGACTTGTCCACAATGTTTTTGATCTTCATGCTCAATAACTCGAGTATTCACTGGAAGTATAAATAAAATAAGTTGGAAACGAAAATAAAGAAAATTTCCTGAAAAAACACGGCACATATTTAAAAGTTTATCATACGATTTAAAGACATGTATGTATAAAAATTTCGACCCGGAAGTTATATTGACTCTAATTTTTCTTTTACATTATGGATATTTATGAGAAAAGTTTGTGTACATTTACATACATACATAACGTCGCCTGGATAAAATATTGTCGTATGTTACTTTTGGCGGGTTTTGGGAAATCGTGATTGAAGTTTGTTATGCAATTTCTCAAAAACGCGAAAATAAATTTTCTTCTAAGTCTTGGAGAATGTTACTATGCAGTTACAAATTCTTAAATAATTTAATTTCTATTGTTTATTGTTAATTACTTTTGCGTCTATGGAGGATTTTCTTTCGCAAAATAGATATTTTTTACCCACATCTTGGAAACTAAAGGAGATATTCAAAAACTGATTCACCAATCGAAAGATGTTATTTTAAAATTATTTTTATAATGTTTTTTGCTTCTCCTCTAAAATAAAAAATTTGTTTGTTAGGGCCTTTGTGAATTAAAGTAACGATATGTACATATGTATGTATGTATGTATGTATGTATATTGCATTATTAGAATACTAATAATTTATTAAAGTTTTTTCTTGCCACAATTCCCTATTAAATATATTAATCAAGCAGTAATCAAATAAGCAATCATAAAAAACGTCATCGCTATTAACACGTAGCGATTTAATCGAATCAAAAGAACACATTTACAAATTTGTTGAAGATTCCCAGACACAGAAAAACCAGATTTCTACTTTGTTTTCATTTTATCTTTTTTTTTTCTTCTTTTAAGATTAACCCTACTCCTTTTTCTTTTTTAAAGTATTATGAATACACACAGCATAAATAAATAATGGAGTAGAAAAGCAGACTAACCGATTTGATGCGCACCGACTTGCAATTTTGAACGCTTTAGAGGCAGGTTATCCGCAAATCGAACAAATCGAAGGAGAACAATCGGACCTAAAGAAGCGCAGACAAGAAGGTCGTCGTCAAGCGCATATGAGGGATATACATACATATGTATGTATGTAAGTACGTATGAATGTATGTAAGGTGCATACATAAATAAACATGCGCGCATGCGTAAATATGTACGAACGATGATACAATGTAGACTTTCAGGTGTATCGAAATGAATGTTTATCTTTTAAATCAATAAATTGAACTTATATTTATCGGTTTCTGCCTGTGTGTAAATCAGTAATGATGTGAATTAAGATACATACTAGCAAGTATGTACGTATACATTAAAATACAAATGTAAATTGGTATTAATTTAAAGTAAGTTAATTAAATCTCCTATCTTCTATTATACATTGAAGTGCAGCTAATCTTTTGCATATGAGCGGACTTTAACAACTGTCGCAACATATGCAAATAAATACAGATGCATTTGTATGGGCATACATACATACATAATATCATATTTATAGGCCTTGTATACCCATATAAATCCAAGAGGTAGTTGCACAATCTAGCGTTGTCCAGAATATTTCAAACGAGGTAGACAGCTGCTGGCGAAATTATTGATCAAAACGTAGAAAGAAAGTAAGTAATGAAATTTAAAGTCAACTAAGAAGAAAAAGAGGTATGAAGAACTTGAAAAAGATTGGTATAAAATTTATACCACATACTTATAAACGACAAATCATGGCACAAACAGGAATTGCGTTAATAACTACCAAAAGTACCGTTTCACATTTTTTTTTTTGCTTTCATTCTTGGAGGCACTGAAGCGCGAAAATTACGAAATTGATGGTTAAGCTCTTTGGAACTACACGCAAACAAGCACTTAATGACATACATACATACATATGTAGTAAATCTCTTACGGAGGTACGAGTACAATAACTTCAGGCAAGTGTTTTAAGTCAGACTGTCGTTTGTCTAAATATTTTATGCAACGAACGGTATTGTTCGGTAGTGTGATTTTGGATGGGCCGTTCGAAGTTTTGATTAAAAAACTTTTTTGTTTATTTTATATTTGTTGCATTTTTAATTAATAACAAAAATCCACAAGCAGTTTGGGGAGGTTTTAGAATTACAGCTCGATTTACTTTAATAGCGCAGACCAGACGAAGGATTTGAATTTACAAAAAAAGCCATATTTCTGATAAGGGCCGTTTTAACAGGGGAGAGTTAACAAAAAATCTATGAATATCTGCTGAATATGAATTGACTCGCACTGTGTAAATGGCCCTAAGTCTTGATGCTTTATCAGCATTACTTATTTCTATGGAGAATCGGCAATCAAGATTAATTTTAAATACAAAATCATCTAATGTTGAGTCCATGAAACACTCGGGTTCAGAAAAATATTTCTATAAAGGTATCGACTTATCAAAAAAGGACAGATGGCAAGATGTAATGAAAATATTAATTGTAGACTTAAACAAAAATATTAAAGGCAGCTATCGGTCTTCGAAACTTCCGGACACTCTCAAATTCATAAATAAAAAGTACTGGCCATATCCTTTCTCACGAAGAAATTATACGTGTCCGACTGTTAGACACAAATGATGTTAGAACGGCTTGCAAATTGATACATTTTCATAGGAGAATTATTACAGCCCGGTTTGGTGGCTTCGATTCATAAGTATGATCGGCAGTTTGCTTTCCAATCATCAGAAATACATACATATACACGTGAAATACAGATACTACCTTACATACGTATGTATGTAACTATACAAGCGCGCAAATATTGCAAAAATCGCCATCGCATTCCAAGGTAACGCAAAACGGCTATAACAAATTCCTTGGTCTTCACAAATAGTAAATATGTACACACATATAGGTGTATAAATACATACATATGTACGAGTACAATATATAAATATTTACAAATGTGTATTTAGCCATATACATGTTTATGCGTCTTGGAGCTTTGTTGTTGTTCTTTTTGACTTCAAAGTTCTGGTTCTGCAGCCTTGACTTTGGCTCATTGATTGCATTGACCAGCGATTGTCTGCAACATATAAATAACCATTTATGTTAGCATGCGGCTGTATATACATATATATATATATATAAGCAGTCTGCAGCTGCGTGTTTTAATGGCCAAAGCCTAAGTGGTCTATATTCCTCCCGACACCGCGATATGTACGGGTATGTGTTTATGTGCGCCTATCGTGATGTTGTCAATAGTTGTTGGCCAACAACAGGTTCTTGCGTGTCCACGCTGCTCTCTATTATACATAAATACGTACATATAATATATATATGTTAAAGCTCGTTTTTGATTCTTAGCTTTTGCAAATTTACTTTGTTTTTTGCAATCAAACAATCTGGAAGTGGATAGACTGTTAGCGTTTAGCGTATGTCTTTAAATGATTGCTTTAGAACCTCATTAACATTGATTAGTAATTGGCATTTGGTTTTATAAATGCTTTTAAAGACGGTTGGTATGAATAGTTTGGGAATTAAAAATCGTATACAAATTTAGTATGCATTTGGCTGGTAGGTAATGAATTCTATGAAATTTATTATGAACCGCGTCTGTGTACCTAAATGTAAATGCAGATAATGTTTTGCCATTTCCAAAGCTTTTCATACTACATATCTATGCTGGTGCAAACAGTAAAAAAACAATACTGCAGCTTTTCTGAGCTCAGAATGTTTTAAAATTTCATTTGTTGCAATATATCTGCAATGAATTAAATACCAACGTACGTACATACATATATATATTCCATTTATTATTTAGCCTTCAGCATATTATGCAATAAATATACTTAACAAAGGCATAATAGTTTGCAATGTTTTTGCAAAACACAAATAATCGAGGTAACAATACGCTCCAGTAAGTCGAAACAAAAGCGAACGCTAAGCACATATCATACACCACGGCAAATATGAACGATTTTTGTTTATTGGCGGTGTAAATTTATTTTAATAAGATAGATTTGCTTTTGTTCAAGTATAGAAAATAAAGTAGCATTGCTAACAAGTCAATGGGTTATATAAATTGTCAATACAATTCGAACTATCTATGTATTGTAATCTACTTGCATGATTATAATATAAATTCTACAAAACAAACTACGCACTACTTTAATTAGGTACCTATTTAAGTAACGATTCCAGCCGTCTATGCGCCGAATTCTCGCCAGATTTGTTTGCCGTTTGCGCTTTCAGCATAGCTGCCAGTTGTAACAATGAATTTTTCTGTTGTGTCTTTGATTGTATATTCGGCGCTGCAGCTGCTTTGGCATTTTTCTTCTTAGCTTTTAGTGGCTGACTTAGTTTGGCAGTGGGTTTTGCTTGCTTTTTTGTAGCATCTGCTTTGTTGGCACTTTTATTATTTGATTGTGGTTTTGCATTTGCAGCTGCTCCTTTTGGTGTGTCAGTTGTTATGCTAGCAGCGTTAGTATGGGGTTTCGTTGGAGCTACATCCTTATTTGGTGCTGATATTTTAGCTGCATTAACTTGCACTTTGTCAAGTTTAAGACCGGCAGTTTTATCCTTATTTTTTTTCTTTTTCTTTTTATTCTTAACCGGAGCAGGCGTCACGGTTTCAGGTACAAGTATCTCGTCCAACTCTGTGACTTCCGTCATTTTACTGTCACGCTCTTTTCTGCTTGGTTTTTGCATTGGCAATTTGGTCTTATGTTTACACAGTTCGCATTGTATTTCCTGAAACAAGTACGCATTAGAATATAGTAAGAAGGGATGTATTGCCGCAGATGTTACTTACCACGCTATTTAGCACGCGCTTGCTTAACCATTTTGCCCTTTTACGCTGCTTCCTTGTAAGCGCTCTTCGATTTTCTGTACTCTTTTTGGCATCGTATAGCTTTTCTATTTGTTTCCTAGCCTTGGTGCTATGTGCTATTTGTTGTGGCTTCAGTTTCATTTGGAAATCTGACTCGTTCCATTTGCTAGAGCAATGGCGGCACATCATGTTACGCGAGAACTTTTCCTTCGGCATGGAGATGCTTGATTTCGCCAGCTTCCGGCATATTGTCATATAATATGATTTTAGTAATTTATGTGTGTGCGTCTCGGGCTCTAATGCACTTGCACAATCCCAATAGTGCTTCACTAAATTCTCCTTATCCATTGTACGTCCGAAATTGTATAATAGTGCTCACTTTTTCAAAATGTTTATCTTGCAAAAACAGCTGTTGGCGGCAGCACGTAGGGCCAACACTGAACACACCACAAAAGTACTTTGCATTGCATCCGGCAGATGTCGCTGTTTTTGATAATGACTAAAACAGAGTGGCAAGGATACGGAAGTATGTTTGAAAAAACCAATTACGTTTTCAATTAAAATCTACTTCTAAAACTTTGTTTAAAAATAATACTTATTTTTTTTTTTATTTGTAAAGTGGTTTCTACTTTGTACACATATGTGCAACCCTTGCAATGCAAAAATAAAACAAGTGTGAATGATACTCTCATCCTTTTCAGTTCCAAACCGATCCTTTTCCGATTTCCCCTACTACATATCCGGTTACACTACTGAAGATCCGCTGTTTCTGTTTCACTAGTTTATTTCCCCCATCATTAGTTTCAAACGGTACTTTAGCGCGTCGGTGAAAATTTTGTTGCGTAGTGCACTTTTCTTTTAGAAATTCATTTATTTTATAATATATAAAAGGCAACAATACACATAAAAGCATTTCTTTAATAAGTTTGTTGTATATTAAGTAACGTTTAGAATAGTAGTGGACGGTGATTTGTGATTTTATTAATGTGGAAATGAGGGTTATACATTTTGATGATTTGAGAGTTCTGGAGTGGCTGTTCCTGTTTGGTATTCCTGCATCAAGCTTCTGTGAGTACTAAAATTTCTTAGCTAGCTATGCATCACTCCAAATAGGCAAAAGCAACGTAATGATGTCTGGATCTCGGAATAGTTGAATATTGCTTATGCAGTGTTGCTTTCTTTGAAGTCAGTTCAATGCTTTGATGTTTGAGTAAATGATTCTACCTTCTTAACTGGAGAGAATAACTGAAAAAGAAGAAATAAAAATGAAATATGTACATACATACATACAAATAAAACTTTCTAACAGCCCGATGAACTACGGGAAATTAAAGCTTGTCAAATGTAGGTCAAACGGAAATTATTCGCCCGATAAAAGGCACAAACTTGTCTATGCTAGCTAGCTGACCCCAATCCTGTTAGCATTTTAAGTTAATGTGCAACCTATTTATATTCATATTTGTGTATACACAATTTTCGGCTTATCCATAACGTACCAACCCACCTCGACTGCCTCATACATTCATATGTATGTATGTATGTAGTTATGTCTTTATTTCATGCGTTCGTGACGTATTGTGGAAGCCAGGTAACATGCCAATATAATGCCCAATATTTGTATGAACGCGATGCCTATGCCTACACCAATCAAAATTACGGCATTCTTGTCGATGCGCTCCCTCAGTTTGCCCACGCAGCCCTCCTAGAAAGCAGAGTAGAAAAAATATTCTCGAATTACAAATCGTTCGGTCGGAAATGTGAAAATTTTTAAATACACTCACCTGAAAGTACTTATCACGTCCCAGTGCCGGTGATTCTGTACAGTGTCCAACAGACTCCTCAATGTACTTTTCGCGACAGCAACTTGCCGGCAACGTCTTGTTCGCGCTGAGTGTACGCCAGTCGGCTGGATTGTCGACACCACAGCACATCAATTTGCGCTGTACATTATCCCATGCCATCATATCCTCATGATTGGAGCGTTTTATAGACTCCTGTAGGGAGTTCTTTAACATCATTTCCAGATCTGATTTGAAGACAGCAGCTGCAATGCCCACAGCCAGTTCGATTATGAAGATGATGGCTAACAGCACGGCGTACTTGAGTCGGAATGGAGTTATTAGTAAATAAGTACACGTGTAATTAATAAGCGAAAATAGACATTACTCACAGTCAATAGCAGCGTAGGTGATTCTTTGATCGCACCAAAGCAACCCAAAGATGCAATCAAAAATATAATTAAGCCAGTTACAATAAGTACGATGGGTGGTGCCGTCACTCTGCCCTCAATAAAGTGACTGAATTGGTTGACATCCGCAAGTACAACGGCGCCGGCTATCAAAATACCGAGACCGGATATCTGAAAACGAATGGATATACAAAAGAATCCATTAATGATATGGAAACATATGACGCAGTATAACGAATATAGATTTGTTAAGAGCGGTCTGTATAAATGGATTTGTTGGGCGTAGGTGGATAAATATGTATACATACATATGTATACGAATATGTATTTTGTTTGCAAGCATAAATATTTAAATCAACGCAGTTTGAATTACTCTCTAACTAACTATACTCGTATATGTTTGTATGTATTTATGAAAGGTTAGTTCAATGTCAGATTGTAATTTGCGATAAATGCGCAATGAAAACTCATGCTTTATTCCAATATGAAGGTTCAACCAACCAACTTCGCATTGGCTGTGGGCCAATGGCTAATGGCAAGTGACCATTCGTTGTACGCTTTGCCGTTCGTGTTTATCTTAAATCCAAATATTTATTACAATAAATATTCTGAATATAGTCTGGCGTCGTGTGCTCACTAATGTCAAAGTTGAAACAAGTCATCAAAAATGCATGCAACTTTCATGCTTGCTACAAAAATAAATGTCGGATAATTCCATCAGGCATTATTGCGTGTTGAGGCGGTTACATGTTTTAAAGAGTATATATATATTAGGGCGATTTTTTTTGCGACTATTGTTTTTTTTTACTCTTATCTCAAAATTTTGTGGAAGCACATAAAAAAAATCCCTGAAAATTTGAGGTAGTGTGGAATTTTCATGGACTTTTAAGCTAAATTGTAAAAATTGTTGATCAACTTCAAAGTCCAATATCTCAAGAAATAGCGATGCAAGCGATGTTGTGTTCTAAAACTTTTTTTTAGAAAATGACAGTCCTACAGTCCTACATTTATATTTTTTCTTTAGCTCTTGTTATTTTCGAGATAGGGGCAAAAAAGCGAGAATTTCGTGAAAAAATTGCGTTCAGTGACCCGTACTACCTCGCTGGTGGGAGTTGGGATTACACCGCAATGGACACTTTTGTAGATCATTCAATTCTGAAAAAAAACGCATTATTGCCCAAGATTATACCATATACTCAAAGTTTATGTGTATTTTATATGGGAAATCTTTGCACTCCTTGCGAGTACTCAATGTTAATATTAAGGGTTCACATTTTCAGGAAGCTTTTTTTTATGTGTTTACCACAAAATTTTGAGATAGGAGTGAAACAAAACAATAGTCGCAAAAGAATCGCCCTAATATATACATATATATAATATATTTAAGCCAAATTATTTAACTTGTATTTAGCAGTATTCTCTTGAGTGAAGTAGTACAAACTAAAGCAAAACCATTTACATAAATCTTAAAGTTTCACTCAAAAAAGAAACTTCTCTTAATTGAAGAAAAACAGCAATCAAAATGTAGAAAAATGGGAACGAAATAGCACTAAAGAAGTTTTATCCTCTTCTCATGCCAAACATTTCTTCAAAATGATAGATTACATCTACGGTTCCATATTTTCGTGTACGTTTTTACACATTCTAAAGAAAAATTACTCATTCGGGAGAATTTTTTACTCATTCGGAAGAATTTCCGACCTTAACGACCTTAAAGTAAGGAAAGTTTTTCTTTGATCCAGAGATAGATTTTTGGTTCAGTGTTTACGAAACCGATTATTTATTAAAGCTTTGCTAAAATCAATATTTTGTTTTAGCCCATAAAGAAGGGTTTGAAATGAGAGCGTAGAGTTGAGAGCTTTTTAAGTTTTCTTCAGTTTACATATTTCAGAATTTGGTTGAAAAACGGCCTATGTCAGAATTCGTTTCCAAAACGCCCTATTTTAGCACATTTTCACTGTATTTTTGTTTGAGATAGGGCGTTTTTGAACCAAATTCTGAGATAGGGGTTTTTCAATAAAATTTTAAAATAGGGCGTTTTTGAAAAGTTTTCTGGGATATAGCCTTTTCGAACTGGCTGCCGAAAGGCTACTTATTATCAAAAAAATCTTTTTGGGTGATTTTAATAATTAATTGAGTAGATCTCTGGTGTCCAAAACGGCACGACTATTTGGGCAGGTAGCCGTTCACATTTCGGCTCGTGAAACATGAAATTATAAGATTTTCTTCACGCAATCCTGCCGGATCGTGCGAGTGCCCAGAAGAGCACAGAAAGAGTCCCTCACGCTAGAAAAATGGGTAATAGAGGGCGAAAATAGTTCAGTGTTTGATTGTAAATGTCTTCTTCTTCGTGCTTGAAACAGCCCGGACTTTTTGTTCGGCACAAATGAAGAAAATACCTTTGTTCCACTTAGCTAATTGAAATAATTTATTGGAAAAGTAAAAAGTAAGCTTTCGAGCTCATTTATGCGGTTCAAAAGCTTCTCATAAAACTACTGTGAAAACTTGTATGCTTCTTATTTGCCACTATCAAAAAACATCGGCAGTTGCCTCTCTCCTTTGCGGATTCGCGCCAGTTGTTCATCTCAAGTGCGGACAGGTCCTTCTGCATTTGATCCTTCGATTGTGTTCGTGGGCGCATTTGCTTTCGTTGTCCATCCCCCAAAGTCCACGTTTCTGCCCCAAAAGGCCACGTTTATGCTGTCTGCATTACTTTTTCCCTATGCCTTTGTATACAGTGGTACCATAGTTAAGTATTGTGAGGAACTGTCATTCTAGCAGAATTCGCATAGCTTTCAATTCAATATAGGTGTTCACCAAATTGAGCAAGTTGCCTAGCACTCTGGCAAAAGAGCAGAATAAGTCAAGCAACAGTCGTTGCAACAGTGTTTGCTTTAGCTAATCTGCTCTTTAGTTTGTGCTCTTTACTAGAAGAAGAAGGTGGGATAGTCTCAATCTCCTCACACTTAATGGAGTCACAATTCAGACTTATTCCGAAGTAAAGTATCTAAGAGTAATTCTGGATACAAATCTATCGTGGAAATCTCATGTGGAACACAAGACCTCCAAAGCATTGGCAGCATATTGGCAATGTAAACAGGACCTAAATATGACCAGACCCATAATCAGCTATGCGTCAATGGTATAGTGGAGCAGACTCTCAAAAAATAGCGTAGGGAAACCTTAAAGACCACCTACAGACTAAAAAGAAAAAGATGTTGGTATAACATTGAGTGGG